TGGGAGACACTTGGCTTCCTGAAGGCAAGCCCAGGCTGGGCTATTCCGTTCAGTATTTGAGATGCTTGAAGCCCAGGTCAAGAAGAGCCATCTCTTCCCACCTCCCTAATGACACAGGTACAAAAGCTGGTTTGTATTTGTTGTCTACCGAGAACTAACTGCTTGTCTGTCTGTTTTCTGAGTGACACAGAAGTTGGTTTCTCCATGAAAACTATTCTTTGACCACCCTTTCCACTAGTTAACAAACTGTCATCACGTAGCAGCTACCTAAATCCAAAAGAAAGTGACACCAGCTCCTCACTCTACTCGACACTGGGTCTGATGTGAACGTATGGGTAAGGTGATGATGCTTGGGGAAGAGTCTAGACTGTGGCCTCAGCATCGTCAGGCCTTGCTCACTGCCCAGTCACTGGCTACTGGTTTACGTCAGCTACCCTCTCTATCGGGAGTCTATCCTGCACGTCCTTGAGTGTATTTTGTGAAGTGCAATAAAAACGGAGAACGAGTGATGAATCCTCAGCAGATTCTGTTCCTTTATGTGGAGATGATCTCAACAAGAGACTCAAAGGCATTTTATCCTTGGCACCTCTGGGATGTATGAGTACAAGAGCCCCAGAACACAATTTTAAACTTAAAGAAAAATAAGAAAACAGAAAGAGGGAAATGAACACAGGATGGCCGAGTCATGAGAGGGAAGACCACAAATTTAAATTGTGACTTAGCTTCATCTAATCAACATATTTGCAACTCACTAAGACTTGACAGAGAGAGTTATGTAATGAACTCAGAGGAAAAACATTCTCAGACCTTGCCAATTAGAGGATTTGAGTAAACTGTACACTCAGTAGGCTAATTAACTTCTGATTGATAGTCACTGAAGGGCCATTGCAAATGTCAAGCATTCTCCACCTGTGCAACTGGGAGATCCCAACAAACAGAACAAAACAGAAAATACGTCTTTAGGGGCTATGCTTGATGAACTTTCATTAAAACTTGCAAGTCTGAAATCTAATGACCAATCTCACCCTTGGCTTAGTAAGAAGCACTGATATCAACAGAGACGTCTGAAGGGAAAGTATGGCTAGCAGGCTTACTGAGCCTCATTTCAATCGCAAAACCACCGAAGTCACTGCTGCAAGTTTTACAGCTGTTTACTTACCGTCTTTGCTAGAAACACTACTCTGTAAAAGGATTCATCAAGTGTGACCTCCCAAGGAGGAGGTCATGTTGACATGAATGAAGGTTCAGACATAAAAATTGTATTTCATAAACAATGCTATAAAATAGTTCGAAGAATGTAGTCTTATGGGGGGGACACTGATTTCAAAGACAAAGGTCAAGAGAAAGAGCAAAGGGAAGCTGGTACAGGCACTGGAGGGGTAGAGAGGAGGCTGTGGCCATCCCACGGCTGTCCGTGGTTCAGACATCTCACTCATGAGGCTCAACATAAAGTGAGGATTCTAAATGATTAAATGCTGTGGACAAGCTGTGGATTCTGGGGATTGAACTCAGGTCATCAGCTTGGTGGCAAGTGTCTTAAGGTACTGAGCTGTCTTATTGGCTCAAATGTTAAGACCCCTTGTGGGGAGGGGGCAAGCACTCACATAGCCCGTGGTGCCCTTACTATGTTGCTAAGGTTGGCCTGGAACTCCTGATCTTCCTGCCTCCACCTCCCAAGTGTTGGGATTTCAGGCCTGTGCTACCATGCCCAGCTGAGGAAGCTTTTCAAGTTTTATTTTTTAAATTTGCTCAATATTGGTAAAGGTAAACTGTCTCGGTTAGTGCGTGGGGAGACAGGGAGGGATTAGAACGGGCCTAGAGACATCTAAGAGGCATAGTAGCCGAGGCCAGGGCAGAAAGGAGATGACTGCTCCCCAGTATCTCCTCCCTTCCCTGGAAGGCCCATCCCATGCTCAGGGCAGTCAGGCCCTGTCATGGAAATTGCCAGTAAAAATTGGGAGGAATGTGATGTGTCACTTCCATGGAAAATCAACTTTATGGACTTAGGATGCATGGCCCTCTTTTCCCACTGGTCTAGGATTAGCAAGGGGCAGCTAGGGGCAGCCCCAACAGCCCGGCCCTGGTGCTAAAGTCACAGGTAAAGAAACAACACAGCTGAGAGGTTGAGTGATTACAAATGAGCATCTGTGAAGGCTGCTCAGATCTGGGGACTGTGGTGTCAGCGACCCACTGGTGTGATTGCTGAACCACAGGAATGCAGGAGAGCCCTCAACACAGAACGGAAAGATCGGGGATGGTATTATAAAGTCCTTAATCAGGAGACTCTGCGCCTGTCATTTCGTTGAGGAAGAAACACCACTATCTACATTTTTTAAGTTAATGTGATATAATTTCCTTGTTATTTTTGTTGTTTGCTCTGCATTTTTTAAAAAAGGTATTTTTATGAGTGTGAGTATATTGCCTACATGTATGTAAGTGTACCCATATCATGCAATGCCTGTGTAGGTCAAAAGAGGGCACTGAATTCCTCTGGAAGTGGAGTTATGGACACTTGTTAGGCGCCATGTGGGTGCTATCTCCAGGTCCTTTGCAAGAGCAGCGAATGCTCTAACCACTGAACAATCTCTCCAGCTTAGGATTTCTGTATTTTAAGGAGAATTCAGGATAACTCAAATACGGTGCTGGAGAGATGGTTCAGTTGTTAAGAGCAGTGGCTGCTCTTATAGACAGCCTAAGTTGGGTTTCCAGCACCTGTCCAGTGGCTCAAAACTGTCTAACTCCAGGGGATCTGACACCCTTTCTGACCTCCATGGGCACCTGTACTCACCACATGTACAGACACACACATATACAGATAATTACAAATAATGCTATTGATTTTTAAAATGTTAGAGTGGGAAAACTGAGGCAATTAAAAACGAAGGTCTTAAGTCAGGCATGGTACATGCCTTTGATTCCCGGAGGCAGAGGCAGGTGGATCTCTGTAAGATCAAGGCCAGCCTGGACTACATAACTAGTTCCAGGCCAGCTGGGGCCACAAGGAGACCCTGTCTCAAATATTCCAATAAATAAATAAATAAACAAACAAATAAATACATTCTGGACACTGTGCATCAAGTTCACCTCTTTCTTCTCCCCGATTATCTTCTCTGCACTAGAAATTATTGTGAAATGAACGCTATAGCCCTATGGTTTGAACACTTGGTCCCTAGTTGGTGGCACTATTTGGGGAACTTATGGAACTTTTAGGACATGGAGGCTTGTTGGAAAAAGTTTGTCCCTAGTCCGAACTGCCTTGCCCCACCCCACTTCCGGTTTCCTCTGCCTGCTTCCTGCTTGCACTGGAGGCATGAGCTTTCAGCTTCCGGCTCTGCCTGCTGCCCCATCGATCCTGCCAGACTGGGTGCTAGCCGTCTGGAATAAAAGCCCAAATCAACGTTTTCCTTGGTTGCTTTGGTCATAGCATTTTATTTTATCACAGCCACAGGAAAGTGACTAAACAGAAAGCAATTTGCATTTCTATGTGACAAATGTGGCTTTGGGGGTCCCTCTCTGTGCCCTGATATCTGACAGCAGAAATTACACCCCCAACTCTCCTCCCATGACTCACTCCCTTAGAGCTGCCAAAATCAAGCAGCGAGCCTTTAATTACTAGAAAAGAAACACCTTCCCTGTAACGTTTTGCATGTACATTAATAAAATAGCGCAACTCCCCTCTCATGCTAGACACAAAAGTGACTACGAAGGACCCCGAGCCCCACACCTGCCCACCCTTCAGTGATGGCACCAACTTGGGTCTCTCAGAGAGCCACTGAAGATATTACTTATAACCCATAACATATCAGGGTGGGTTCTAGCGCCAAGATGACGGTTGCTTGCAGCCTCCGCATGGGAAGCTCACAGGGCTCTCAGGGAAGGGTTCATCCACCGGGGAAGCAGACATTCAGTGTGGCATGGGAACTCACTGCCTCCTTTCCATTCATATAGTAAGAATCACCCCAGGTCCTTGGAGCAGTGTGCAAGTGTCCATGGAGACTACAAAGTGCAGCAGCTAAAGTATTGTTAAGCACTGTAAGAATTTATCTGTTATATTTAAGAGTCTCTTCTAATTACACTTTGTGAATGAGAATATGAACATTTTCTTCTCTTAAGCTATTTGTATAGACTGGAAGGTACTGATCTCACTAGCTCCATGTCCTAATTCTAGAAAGTTATTTACTGCAGGTTTATCCCCCATTCATGCAGGACTGTTATGTAAAATCTAAGGACCAGTGGTCTCGTATTTCAAATGCCAGCTTAGGGAAACCCACAGGCGTCCCAGCTGTGAATAATCTGGTCCTTTGCAGGAGGTACCCTGTGGATCATTCAGAGCTACCCCATGGACCATTCAGAGCTACCCCATGGACCATTCAGAGCTACCCCATGGACCATTCAGAACTACCCCATGGACCATTCAGAACTACCCCATGGACTATTCAGAGGCCATGATTTCACTATGAAGACTGTTACAATAACTGATTATACCAAGGACACTTACCTGTGTACGCAGAGGGAAAAGGTTACCCAGCCACTGCCAGCCAATCATACAGCCACATCTTAAAACAACACAGGACTTGGAAGTCATGAGCAAGCATAAAGGCTGTTGGTGATAATGGTCTGGCAGGGCTTTCTCCATGCATTTGGAAAACTTAGCTGTGCATGGACAGTTAGAGCAAATCACCATGCATTTATAAGCTGGTGTGTATAGGGTGCATAGGAAACACACTGAAAATGTGTACTTCTCAAAAGTTGGGGGCTGTGTGTGGCTTCCAGGGGATTTATGACAACTGGGCTCCTCTAAACAGTCACAGGACCATTACAAATGCAAAATCCGTTTCGTAACTAGTGACTGTCTTAAGGGTGCTGGGAAACAGGAGGAAACGGTTACCATTCCACAGAAAAATGGCTTCCAGTGTGAGTCTATGAGGCAGGCACATAATCAAACAGACAAAGGAGGGGACTCGAAACAGCAACCAGGACAACAGAGCTCATGGCTTAACCTGTTTTGTCAGAGCTGGTGGTGATGGCTGTGAGGGAGGCGAAGGCAGTCTTTGCGCTGTCCTTGGCACTGACAGATCTCTGCTTACTTTTCATGGCGTCCAGGGCTTTGAGCTTCTTGGCATGCTTCGTGCCTTTGTAGTGGGCCGCAGCCTGGCTCTACAAAGGAGAACAAAATGAACCATGCAATCAGGCTCACTGCTAAAGCGGCATTCTCTGCATTACTGCAAACACAGGCTCTCTTTCAATAACAGGTACCGTTCGAGCTAATGCTGGTCGTGGCCAAACAGAGGGGACTTTACTTTAGAACGATGCTTGGAAAGAAATAGGAATCTAACTTAAACCTTAGGGGAATGAAGAAGTGCTCAGTTGCTTCTACTAAGAGAGATGTAGCTCAGCACTAACATATCAGCATGTTCTGTTTGGACTGGGGGAAAGAAGAATGCAAACCTGTTTGCTCTAGTTTTGTCACCAAAGACACGGAGCGCCCAAAGATTAATAAGAGCTCTAGAAAAGAGCAGCTCTTACCTTGGCTCAGAAAATATGTTTTCTTTTCCTACACAGTGACTTATCAATATAGTCCCCATAGGGGTTTACAGAGAAGACTCACATATAACGGGGTGTGGGGGTGTGTGCCCTGGAGACTGAACATGGCACCTGGAACGCAAACACAAGCCTGAAGTCCGGATGGACCACAGAGAAGCAGGGAGATTTCCTGACACTTTCCTTCCGCTTCCTTCCTGCCCGAGGACATCTCAAGAACCGCAAGGTGGCATGTCTCTTTCGATGTATGAATGGTTTGTGATCAGGAGACTCTGGTCTCTAACAGGGTCAAGGCCATCTCAAGCCTGTGGCTTTTGAGATTCTGTTTTAAATGATGATATGTATTTCTTAAATTCATTTACCTTATTTTGGAGGAAGGGGTTATTGAGAGAGTCTCACTACACAGCTCAGACTCATCTGGAACTTGAGAGCCTCCTGTCCTGGCCTTCCAAGTGCTGGGATGACAGGCAAGCATCACTAACCCTTAAGTATTTTACCTTTTTTTTTGTGTGTGTGTGTGTCTAGAGACACACTAATTGAGATAGAGAGAGTCATCTGTGGCTGGGTGTGGTAGAACACATTTTTAAAAATAATTTGGTTTACATGTTTTTTTTTAAACTTTATTATTTTTATTTTATGTGTTTGCGTGTATTGCCTGCATGTAGGTAAGTGCACCCGTATCCTGCGATGCCCGCAGAGGACAGAAGAGGCTGTTGGATCCCCTGGAGCTAAGGACAGTTGTTAGCTGCCGTGTGGTGCTGGGATTCGAACTCAGGTCTTCTGCCAGAACAGTCAGTGTTCTTAACTGCTGAGCCATCTCTCCAGCCCCAGGAGAACACATTTTTAATCACAACACTCCAGAAGCAGGGGTAAATGGATCTCTGAGAGGCTAGCCTGGTCTACATAGTGAGTTCCAGGTTACCCAGAGCTACACAGTGACATCGTGTCTCAAAAAAATTGATAAAATAATAATTATTAATGTTTATTTACGAGATAAGAGCCTTTACATGAGGGGCTGAATGGTACAAGGAGGGACAAGGAGATTCCTAGGTACCAAGGGCAAACATTTTAAAAGGGTCAGCCCACAGAAACAGAATCTCACAGGACTTCTGTTGGCTCACCAGTCACTTCCCATTGCTAAAACTACACGTTCCATTTTGCTAATAGAAATACCAATCATGTGGCCCTTCATTAGGTCAGCTAGAGCAGGCAGAGCCTTTCAGTCATCACCATATCTTTTAATAAACAAATTTCCACACCTTCATTTGCATCATTCTGAAGGGATGTTCTCAGAGCTCTAGGTACCCTGACTGAAAGAACAATGAACAAGGGAGTCCTGGGTCAGGGACAGACTGAACAGACGGCACGCTCGTGCACCAGACACACATTTCCACGTAACACCCAAAGACATGCTATAGTTCACTGAGAAATCGGGACTAGGTGGCGCCCATCTGATTCCATGTGGGGTGTGGGGAAACCTCTGACGGACAGAACTGTTTTCCGGTTTGTTGGTTCCTGCCCACTTCTGCCTTTTTTTTTTTTTTTTTAGGTTGTTTTGAAAAAGGGGCTCCCTGTAGTCCCCCGTGGCCTGGAACTCACTATGTAGACCAGGCTGGCCTTGAACTCAGAGATTCCCCTGCCTCTGCCTCCCAAGTGCTGGGATTAAAGGCGTGTGTCACCATGCCCAGCTACTTCTGCTTTTGAATCCACCAAGCCATATCTTTGGTGAGCTATAGTCTATACTCAATTAAATCCGCAGGGTAGCTAGTCATCTTCTTTAGGTAACTGCCACATAATATTCCTTGAAACAGAGTGCTCTTCCCCTAGTGATTGATGTGAATGTCTTTATAGTACATATTGGAAATGCAGACTTTGATTCACAGTGCTATCTCTACTTATATTTCCAAAATACATCCCTTTCTGCAGGCAAGGTTGGCCGTGGCCTTGTGGGTGCTGCTGCTGCTGCTGCAGTGCCCTCAGTGTGGGGGTGACAGGCATCCTGCAGCCACTATGCTCAGCTTCAAAATATACATTTTAAAGGCTTCTAGAAAAAAACTACCTCTTCAGTCCATTAGGAGAGGCGTTTCTGTAGTTGAGCATTCCTTGGGTGAACGTCCTTCCTTTTAAAAGGAAGATACTCATTTCATATGAATTCCTACAGCAAAAGAATCAAGGAACTTCCACAAAGACACAAAAGCCCTTCTCTGCACAGGTGCAGCTGGACCAGCGCGCTCCAGGGCACAAAGTGGCTCAGAAAGCACCAGGTGGAGAGAGTGACAGACACAGGATTTAGTCAGCTCCCAGTTGGGGCGTCGGATATTTTGAAATGGAAAACAAAATAATTAAATGCCTACTCACACACACTTGTTCACCAAGCAAGAGCCTTGAATCACTCTGATATCATTTTAGTCCCAGATTACCCAGACATTTCCAAATAGGTAACTAAGGCTCCCCAAATAGAAAAAAAATCAAATGGTGGAAAGGTTTAAAGTGCTATGAAGAGAGTTGGACATTGGAATTTGGGAGAAATGGAGTGCAGAAGGGTTAGGGCATCAGAGGAGACGATGGGATTGTGAGTGTGCAGGTATGTGTTAAAGGGTAAGATAGGCGTACAGATTTGAAAACTAACATGGACCCATAACCCTTCTAGGTCTTCTGAATTTTCTTTGACTCAGATTTAACAGCTATAGAGTTAGGGGATCATTTTGGGCTATTCTAGTATCAATTTCCTATCTACGCCTACAGACTTTGTCATGTCGTGGTCTACCTTGATTCAAGGGTGCAGTGCCTTGTGTGAAGGCAGAAAATCTAGCCAGTCTCCTTGCCACTAGTCCAGATGTCTAGATCCTGGAGTTATCCAGCCACATCTATCTAGTCTTCTAGTGGACAAGGATGAAACCCAAGGAATCCTGCTGAGGGATTTCCAAAAGCATCACTTGGCACAGAGTTGCTTTCTGCCCCTCTGCTTCTGCTCTGGGCACAGGGTGGTGTTGCTGTGCACTGCACCCTGTGCTTCCTGTGAGACTGTAGTGCTTAGTTATCAGTCAGCTCCCCAGTTAAGCCACCCCAGGAACTTGACACCCACAACCCTCCAGAGACAAGCAAATACCCACTTTGAAAAATATTCTGTTTTTTTATTTTGTGTGTATATTGCCTGCATGTGTGTAAGTGCACCTGTGTTATGCAGTGCCTGAGGAGGTCAGAAGAGGGCCTTGGATCCTCTGGAACTGGAGCTATGGGCGGTCTGCACAGGTGCAGCTGGACCAGCGCGCTCCAGGGCACAAAGTGGCTCAGAAAGCACCAGGTGGAGAGAGTGACAGACACAGGATTTAGTCAGCTCCCAGTTGGGGCGTCGGATATTTTGAAATGGAAAACAAAATAATTAAATGCCTACTCACACACACTTGTTCACCAAGCAAGAGCCTTGAATCACTCTGATATCATTTTAGTCCCAGATTACCCAGACATTTCCAAATAGGTAACTAAGGCTCCCCAAATAGAAAAAAAATCAAATGGTGGAAAGGTTTAAAGTGCTATGAAGAGAGTTGGACATTGGAATTTGGGAGAAATGGAGTGCAGAAGGGTTAGGGCATCAGAGGAGACGATGGGATTGTGAGTGTGCAGGTATGTGTTAAAGGGTAAGATAGGCGTACAGATTTGAAAACTAACATGGACCCATAACCCTTCTAGGTCTTCTGAATTTTCTTTGACTCAGATTTAACAGCTATAGAGTTAGGGGATCATTTTGGGCTATTCTAGTATCAATTTCCTATCTACGCCTACAGACTTTGTCATGTCGTGGTCTACCTTGATTCAAGGGTGCAGTGCCTTGTGTGAAGGCAGAAAATCTAGCCAGTCTCCTTGCCACTAGTCCAGATGTCTAGATCCTGGAGTTATCCAGCCACATCTATCTAGTCTTCTAGTGGACAAGGATGAAACCCAAGGAATCCTGCTGAGGGATTTCCAAAAGCATCACTTGGCACAGAGTTGCTTTCTGCCCCTCTGCTTCTGCTCTGGGCACAGGGTGGTGTTGCTGTGCACTGCACCCTGTGCTTCCTGTGAGACTGTAGTGCTTAGTTATCAGTCAGCTCCCCAGTTAAGCCACCCCAGGAACTTGACACCCACAACCCTCCAGAGACAAGCAAATACCCACTTTGAAAAATATTCTGTTTTTTTATTTTGTGTGTATATTGCCTGCATGTGTGTAAGTGCACCTGTGTTATGCAGTGCCTGAGGAGGTCAGAAGAGGGCCTTGGATCCTCTGGAACTGGAGCTATGGGCGGTTGTTAGTTGCCATGTGGGTGCTGGGAATCAAACCTGGGTCTTCTCCAAGAGCGGCCAGTGCTCTTAGCCACTGAGTCACCTCTCCAGTCCTGAAAATAGCCATGTTTAAACCCAAATGATTTTGACATTAAACAAGCAAGTATGCTCATATTGTGTTGTATTTCAGAATTCTATCATCGCCCAAACAGGATTGTTGTACCCACAGAACTGAGCAGAACAGAACTGAGCTATAACAACTGACTTTGAAAGAAATGCAACTGAGGGTATACCGTCACGGAAATCACTGTACGGATCTGAATCTCGGACTAGCACCTGACACCATCAAGTCTAAC